CTTTTCAACCATTTTCAGACGCGAAATGCTGACAAAAGCGGTAAAACAACAAGGACAAAGATGCCATCTCGTGAATATTCCCTCAAAACAACATATTAACTCTTTTAAATCAACATAATTGAAATCTCTTTTAATAAAAACTTAAAGCATTTACAACTAGGAACGCAGAGCGACATAGTAGCATATTTTCATCTTCAACTCACGAAGCCTTACTTGAGAAATCCACTTCAATACAACAAATTAGGCAATTTTTTTTACATTTGTCATAAGCTCTAATTTTTTTTTAAAAAAATAAAGTAGTGTTTAAAAAGTGAATCACTTTAAATTAGTTCACTGTATGAATGTATTTGTTTATAATTCATTTCAAAAATCATTCAAGCCTAAGTATTATAGGATGAAGCCTAACTAACTTCCCTATATGAAAGTATTTGCTTATGACTGATTTCAAAAATCATTTAAGCCTAACTATTATAGGATTAAATCTGACTAACTTCACTGTATGAATGTATTTGTTTATGATTGATTTCAAAAATCATTTAAGCTTGACTATTATAGGATAAAACCTAACTAACTTCACTGTATGAATGAATTTGTTTATGACTGATGATTTCAAAAATCATTTAAGCCTGACTATTATAGGATTAAATCTAACTAACTTCACTGTATGAATGTATTTGTTTAGCACTGATTTCAAAAATCATTTAAGCCTAACTATTATAGGATTATGCCTAACTAACTACTTAAGGAATTTCTCATTCCCATACTAATGCAAAAAATTAGAGACTGATACTAAAGTGTGGAGTGATTGGATTTTTTAGTACGTTAATTTTTCAAAAGCTAAGTCTCTTACTTAGAATATATTTTTTAATTGTTTTAACATAGTTATAAATTAAAATTCACTTTCATTTTCTGTCACTCATGAACTTAACTTGAAAAGTCTATTTTCATGAGAATGATAGCCAAATTATTAGACGCACTATAAGCAGCCTCTTTTCTGGCTTAATTCGCTGCTTCTTCATGCTAGCTTCAGAAAACTTCAATCTTCGTGATATTTTGCGGTTTGAAAATATTTTAGCTTTCACGAGGGTCTTTAATTCACTTTTTTTACATGGTGAGAAATCACTTTTCTTACCCATGATGAAAATATTCCAATAGATTATTAATACACTGCACACAAAATAAACAAATAATTGCGTAGCATAAGACTGCAAAACAAATAAACAACACAGCACATAAACGAGTCCTCAACTGGCGCACACAAGAACGCGACTGAAGCCGGTTTGCGCTTGTTTACGCTCGTGAATCAATTGGTTTACATTGTAATGCAATACTTAAAAAATAAATACACATAGGAAGTTTATAAAAAATCTCCTGAATAAAATCCCATTACATGCATGTCTAAATCTAAAAGTACTGCATATAAACTCGTGTAAAATTTATAATTATTAAAAAACTACAGTGCGTCTAATAATTCAGCCAGAAACTGTAAAAGAAGCTGAATTCTGTACTGAATCATTTATAATATTATAGGATTTTAATTATTCGTTCAAAACTTGCATTTTATATTCAGAATATTATATTTAAACACCGATAATTTACCTGTCCCTATTAATGGAAAATGAAATTTTCTATGAGGAACTCAAGTCAAGGTAAAATCTTCGACTCTGTAAGCAGCTGTTAGACTCTCAAAGCTCAAGAACACAAATGTAGACAGTATTTTAAACTTCCAACCTCGACACGTAAACTTAAATCAGCATCTTACACAATTCCTTCAAACTTTACGTGACGATGGCGATTAAAGTAAAGAATAAACAAACAACACTTGGTTGAGAACATCACGTCTTTAAAAGATATAAATTTCATCACCTAAGTTCAAAGCGCTTTAGAAGCATTATATTTATTAGTTTCAACCTCCAATTATAGTAATTTATGAACACCTAGTTTCCCATAAAAATGCGAGTATGTCAAGTTGACAAAAATATAAATAAATTGTTAGAAATGTATGTAATTACCTTTTTCTATAAACGCAACTTTCCTAGGAAATATATATTTTGCGAACTAATTTGTTTAAAAATCAGAGTGCAAATTAAAGGTATAAAATATATGTGAGGTGTTGTGTAATGATTACCAGTAATATATATTTTTCAAACCCTGGTCCAGAATAAAGACAAGGAAAAAAATTTAAAGTGTGGGGTTTACAAGTTAATATTAATGCGAGGGTGAAAAACAAAAGAGTTTTTAAATCAGACAAATAACTATTAAAAAAAGGAAGAACAAAGCCTGTTTGATTGGATATTAATTTCGGAAATTATTTTTAACAGATTATTTCACACATACGTTTTCGGAAAGTGCAAGAAAGAAAAATTACTCTCTTAAAATGAAAGAGTGATTTCCCCTACTCAAAAAAGAGTTAAATTTTTTTAACTCAACTAGAGTGAAATACACTCTTACTTGAGCGAAATTCTTGCTTTGCGTTTACTCAAACTTGAGTGGTATTTATTTAAGCAATATTTGAGTGCTTTTAGCTCAAGCTTGAGTGATTTATTTATTATTTGATTGTGTGCGAGCTATAAGCTGGAATTTCTGTCATTTTATTTTAAAAAAGCAAACGATAATGAATCTAAATAAAATTTTTATGTTCTGTGATCTAAATAGATTACGTCTTCGCTTTTATTTTACGTTTAATTTTTTTCTGGAGAATATGTCATTTAATATTTTGAATTAAGAAGAATTAAAACAGCTTTTAGTTCACAGCGGTATTTCTGAAGAAGACGCTGTTTTACTTTTTGGTAAGTAAATATACCTTGTTTTTTTATTTTTAAAATACTTTTATTTAGAATGTGTTATATACACATTCCATTTAAATTAGCTGTTTTTCAGTGTTTTTAAATGAAATACTATTCATTTAAATTATGTGTCAAAAAAATTTATTAAAATTTAAAGTGTTAAATGTGGATGATTATGGAATATTAAAAAAATCTGATTCCATGCTAGAATCTTTGTTAAAGCATGTGGGAATATATCATATCTGATAAAAGTTTTAGAATTTTTTCAGATCTCATATTAAAGTTTTAACATTTTCTTTTAATATAATAAATTTATATCCATGTTTTAGTTTTTTTATGTATAATTTTGGTACAAAACATTTGTGGATAATTAATTTCATATCATTCTATACTTCTTTTTAGAAAAGATATTTATGAAATTTTTGTTCATACAGTCTAGAATTGCTGTTATTTAAAATGCCTTCTATTAATAAAGTTGACCGTCTTTAATTTATGAAAGTTCACATTTGCGAGATCCATTCATTCAAATCTGTATCTTCAGATGTTCGATGCATTTTATTATAAATATATCATTCAAAGAAAAAGTGGAAAATATTATATTTAAAAAAAATTAAACAGTATTTTGAATTTTTCTGTTTTTATCCTGTTTTCAGCTTTTATTTAATAGAAATTCAGAATTAATACTATTTTGGTATTTCATAAAGTATTTATCACATTATACAAACTATTTTTCTTTTGTTGCTAGCATAAAATTTCTTACCACTTTTCTTCAAGTTCAATTTTCGAGGCAAAATTGAAATTGCAGAATTAATATTTAATTAAAAGTGCAATGCTAATTAAGTATTGCAAAATACAAATAAATTAGAATTTTACAATAGTTATAGATTAATAGTAAAAATAGGGAATCAGTATTAAAAATAATATATACCCATGCAGCAGAGATAAGTATTACTTACGGGAAACTAACGTTAAAATGCCACAAGGTTTAGAGCAAAAAAACGTTTATTTAAAACGTTTTATTTCCGTTTCGAGTGGTAGTCTAGAATTAGGTAAAAAAGCGTTTATATTTGGGTTGTTTTTTACGTAAAAATGACAAATTTTTCGCGTGATTTTAACCAAGCATTTTTTTTTTAAACGTATGTTTTGCGTTTTTTTTCACTAAACTATTAACGTATATTTTTGGTTCTATAAATTCGTTTTTTTCACCTTGAATATTTACGTGTTTTTAACGCTTGTTCTATTTTAAAATAACGTACGTTTTACGTTATTTTAACCAAAATACAAGCGTATTTTATCCATATAATTTACGTATTATTATCAATATTTTTAACGCTTATTTTGAGTTAGGTGAATTAATAAATTTTTCGCGTAAATTTAACTAAATTTATTTCAATTTAACGTAATTTTAACCGAATTGTTAACAATAACATATTTTAATTTGTATTTTTTTAACTAAGAAGGAAAGAAACCATTCCGTATTTTAATGTTTACGCTGCACTAATTACTCTAAAAAATATAGCATTTACTTTTTATTTTAAAAAAAAACTTCTAATTCTTTTCGAACTAAAACTAAAATAACGGAAAATAGCCGATATTCATGCTTTTTTTAAAAATCCTAGAAAAAGCTTTTTGTTTTTAATCTCACACTTTCTGTACATTTTTACAATTCAAATTATAACTCAAGGAATATGGAATGCAAATCTTTCTACCTCTTCACAGCAACATACTGGTTTATTTACGAAGTTTCATGTCTCTCAGGAATTTTTTGCATTTTTCAATCCTAAAAGTTTGTAATATAAAGAATTGGTAGAAGAAAAACTTACTCAATACTTACATGATGTTCCAAACCCCTATGGAAAAAAAATTTTTTTTTCCAGTTCAAATTAATAGTTAAGAAATCTACTGCTCTCCTTAAGTCCATGTTTCCAAATTGCTTGCTTGAAATTATCTACTCTTCTAGAATGCGCTTGGGTTCATTATTTTTTTTATTTTTTAAATGCATATATTTCAGTTTTTAGCTTGAAACATTTGACTAAAATTTACTTTAACACACACACGAAGTAAAAAAAAAATATTAACCAAATTTACCACTTGATTTGCTTACTTACAAAAATTAAAATTTTTCTACGTCTTATATTCGTAAAATTACAATTTTTAATCTAGAAAAGCAGTTAACTTAATTATTTTAAATACAGAAAAAAACATTAAATCAAATAAGATTTATTAAGTTTTATTTATTTTACAACTATCATACAATATATTTACAATATATAGATTTTCAATTATAACACATCGCCACAGATCTGAAACATCATAACTTCTTCCACCCCGCTGTTACTATCACCTCTTCACTGCATATGTTCCTGGAAAACAAATAACTATTTTAGCATATGAAAAAAAAATATACGGGACAATAATATTAAATTGTTACAACCAACAGAAGATTTCTAAAACGAAGCAATACTGACTAGATAAAATACAGAGTTAAATAAAGAAATTTTAAAAAAAATATTAAAACTGTTTATTATTTTCATGGAATTTCTACTAAGTATATATCGATTGAGTACATCGAAATATTTAGATATAAGAAAATCTATTTTGCAAATTTTAGTCACATATTACATGACAAAATTACATACATACACAGCACAAATCTGAATCAGAATATTTCATAATCTTACATTGAAGCCAGCAGTAAGTTATAAACAAAACATAAAATTATTTTTCGTGTGGCTTTGAGGAGAACTCCTCCAGACTTTTAGTCTGGTGCTGTCGGCTGCTATGGTAACAAGTAAGAGCACATTTCTAATGGGGGAACAATGGAGGAATAAAGGTGTCAATTGGTTTACCCACGCTGACCTAAAATCAAGACAAAACTATTCACAAAACACCCCTATTTGAATTTACTTTTTCTCATAACCGCATTACTTGCCACGACATGACCCTGTTGTCAGGTGAAGTTCTCCTAAAAGCTGCCCTATACTTTCTGTTTATTTAATTATCCTTCAAATTTTATTTTCCACCCTCATTCTTTTCATTTTTTTCTTGCTCCTTAGCTGTAATTTTCATTCCTCTTCAGAATATTTTGCAAGAACTTTGTAGTTATGAAACACAATTCGATTAGTTTCAGTTACGTAATTTTTAGTACGTATTATTAAAACAGTAAAAATACTATGCCTTTTAACACTAACAGTATCTTTAATATACAACTTTTTGTGTTCCTTGACCCTAGTGCGTTACTATCAGGTTGCTTGGGGGCAGTAAATACTTTATTTGTTTAAACCACTTTAAAAGGACTGGATAAAAAAATTTAAAAAAAAAAAAAAAAACATGGCCCTGGAGGAAAGAACTCCATTTTACAGCAATTATTAATTCTGAAATTTTGGAGAGGGTTCATGAATAGAATTAAATAAAACAGGTCCTTTCACAAAAGAATGGAAAAACCACTAGTTTTTTTCTTCACAAAAACCATAAATAACCCTTGCTTANAATGCTGCATATATATATATATATATATATGAGCAAAACAAAATTACCAACTTTTCCCACCCTTGAAAAAATAAAATAAAAAATTATTTTGAACAAGGATAGAGCAGATATCAAAGATTTTTTTAACTTATTTAAGGATGTGAAAACAAATATATATTTTTTTTGTCAAACTGTAATTCATATAGTTTGTAGTATACATAATTTCCATTGCATGAACTACTTAACTTACAAGATATATAAGTTTTCTGCAATACTAGACATCTAACGTAAATTTTACTTAATAGTTTTTGCTAAAAAAAAAAAAAGTTGGAACATAAGTATGCTAAATGTATTTAGTAAAATGCAAGAAAGTATAATAAATTAATGAAAACTAGTCAGTCTAACTCTTTTAGAAAAAAGTAGGCATTTTTTGCAACCTTGATATACACATTGAATCGTGTTTTAAAACATTTTAATCATTAATACTTTAACACCAAATAATAAACACAAAAACATTCACTTGGAAAAATAAGATATTTAAATAAAAGATGTTTTCAAACAGTATGAAATCAAAAAAATTTTCATTTAATGCAAGCATAATAATATAGTGCAGAAGTTATTGAAAAAAAAACTTTATAAAAACAAAGTGATAATATCATAGACAGATATATCATATAAATAGAAAATATTATAGGTATAGTCATAGATATAAAATCATTGATTAAAGTTAACAATAATGAAAGTTCAATTTCTAATATGCGGAATTGTAGAAAACTGCAGCTGTACACAAAAAAATAAATAAATATAAACATATACACAATTGGCTTTTTTTAATTAAAACATGAATAATTTGAAATCTTGTGGCAGAATGTTTTTGAGCTATCTGCGACTAAACTCTCCAGCACTAATATCTAATTGCGAAATACTTTTAATACAAGCAAACACATATGTTGCTAATTTAAAATGGCAAATACCTGTGTTAAAAAAAAATAATAATAATAATTTTCTCAATTTAGCACGAAATAATTTTTTTTTTAATATTATGGGTGATATTCTCACATTTTGTTGGTGGGATGACACACACTTTATTTGCTTCTTCGCATTTTGTAAATAATCATCGCAATAAAAAAATATTAAATATCATGAAATCAGTAGTAGTAATTCCCCCCCCCCCAAAAAAAAAATATATGATGTAATTACGTAAATTGGACTCCTCAAAAGCGTGATACACTTTGACATTAGGTTGTAATAAATAATATCGTATAAAAAATATCGGATTTAAAAACTAAGGAGAAATCAACATCTATAACTTCTAAAAATTCAACAGAATTTTTTAAAAAAAATAGATAGCCTAAAAAAATAGATACTCAAATGCACGATTCAAGTTTTCCATACTGTTTAAAGATATCAAGATGGTTAAGAACCAAATGAAAATCAATATCAAAAAATTGCCGAAAATACTATCCAAACATTACGTCAATTTATGATACTATCAGTGAAAATTGAGCGAGCCAAAAACTGATTATCTAAATGCATGATTCAAATATTTCTGTAAAAAAGAAAAGTAATATTTTCTTCTTTTCAAAAAAAAAGATCTTTCTGCAAGAACTCTGTAAAATTCTGCAACAATGTCGCCGTGTCGCTGCGATTCTGCCACGGAGATTTGAAATACTGAGCAATTTGTATAAATCTAATTGATGTTGTTTATTCATTTTATAATTCATTTGAATGTTTGCCAAATGTTTGGTTTGAGTAGCCTCAGCCTTTGAGTGATTCATCAATCTGTAATCTGTAATTCATCAATCTGTAATCTGTAATTCATCAATCTGTAATCTGTATGATCGCTGAAGAATTCATAAAAGCAAAATAGAAGTTTCAGAATTTGTTTGCACTTATTGAGGACTATGAATAAAAAGACTAATTTAATGCAGATAAAACACATATTTTTTAAGTGCCAGTGAAATAAAACATTGGAACAGCAAAAATAGTGGAGGTAAAAACAGTAACAGTTTACCATTCTACAGAACTTACAACAGAAACCTTTTTTATTAATTAGTTGAATAGTGCAAATGCTGATGATTGTGCATCAAATAATTAGGATTCTACTGTACATGGAAAATATATTTACAATATATGATAATTCATTTTAAGAGACAAGTTTTTGAGTACTTTTATTAGCTGTTATTGAAGCATGGGCAGCCTATGTAAACAATTTTTAATTAATATTTTTAATATCAGCAAAAGTAATCTGAAAACATTTTTAACAATTGATTTGTTCATGTTTATAATTTCATGAATTTTTTTTACCCATTTTTAAGTACAAGAAGAAAGGAAACAATTTGTTGCTACGCCCGTTGGCTTCTTGGCGTCATTGTTCTCAGCCAAGAGTCAGTTAATGTAAAACAACCAAAGAGCATACACGCTCGGTTTTTGCATCCCCGCAGCGCTACCAGCGCACCCGCAAAATAAATTGTGTACAGTCAACACCTCCTAGAAAAGAGTAGGCCTCTGCACGGGTTACCATAAATATCCTTTAGAAGTCTAAACGTAATGACATATTTCGTATTTTCAACCACTGCGCAGCTTAGTACCCCGAACGTAATGACATCTTTCTTATTTTTCATCAACTGCGCAATTAACTTCGTCACATCGGACTACTAATTTGATCCATGCTGAGGCCTTCCTTATTCTAGGAGGTGTTGGTACAGTCCACATTGTCCAAGTTTGATTTTTATACACCTCGCAAGCTATCGCAGATCATCTGACCAGATGATTTGGTTGTTTTACATTAACAGACTCTTGGCTGAGAACAAAGACGCCAAGAAGCCAACGGGCGTAGCAACACAATTCAAATACAGTTATTTCTTTAGACATACTTAATTCAGGTACCTTCAAATGAGACTTGATGGAGGTTCATTCTCAAAGCTAGATCCTTTCCAAAGATCTTCCTCAGAAGTACATCAATATAGATTATGAAATAGAAAATTCATTCAGTTAATACATTTAAAAACATAGAAATTATTCAAACATATTTTGTTTTGTTTATACGGGCACATTTATTATTCAGAATTAGAGAGGTAAGGAGTAATGGTTTGGCAGAATGTTAGCTAAAAAAAATTGTGAAATGCAGAATATATTTTTATAGCAATATTTTTATTTAAAATAATTCATTAATAAATACTTTTTATGAATAAATAAGTTTGTTTATAATTGGGAATTACTCCATGCTTATCTATATTAATGGATTGGGGCTAAAGGGAAAACAAAAAATTAAACCAGAAAACTAGTTCTAAATAAAATGGAAAGAGAAAAAAAAATTCTCATAATTGTTACAACAAAACTTCTATGCTAAGAATAAAAGAATAATATTTTCTGCAAAGCAGTATTCATAAAGCAACATTAACTAAAATATAATCTATTAGAAATATGTTATTAAAATGCTGTGTTATCTTAAAAACACTAAAAAAAAACAAAAGATTATATACAAATGTAAAACAGAAAAATCTATTTCAATTCTCAAAATAAAATTTTAAAGCTTTACGTCTCAGCTTTCCAATTATCATATTTTCCAGATAAGAATAAAGTCAATAGAAACATTCTTAATTACTGCGTCATACAGTTAATAAAAACAAAGTATTTTAGAAATGTAAAAAGCTAGGTAAAAATCAAGACAAAAATTGTTTAAAAGAAAAATTTAGCAATAAAAATTTCAATTGAACTTTTTCACCTAGCAGGGGTCTGTCTAGGTTTTTCTGAGAAGTACCCATTTTGTGAAAATTTGGACATAATTTGTGAAAAATTAAAAACTATATTAAAATATCAACACAAAAATATGGATTTATCGTTTCTTAAGGAATACAAAAATAAAATTACAAGAAAAAGTATTTTGTGAAACTACTGTTTTTTCTAAAGTTGAATTTGTGAAGGTACAGCTAAACGGTAGTAAATTCGGCTTAGACAGACCCCTGCCTAGGCATATTTTTAGAATACAGCGACTATAAAAGAATTAAAAAAGTTTTAAACAGCAATGTAAATTTAAATAAAAACTTGAATAAGAATAACTCTAAAGATAATTTAATATTGAAAATTACTGCAATTATTTTCCATATCGTTTTAGCTGATAAATTTCAAAAACTGTTTCAAAAATAAGAAGAAAAATTTGCAGTAAATGTTCAACTGGGTGTTTTCTTTTTTTAAAGATATCATGTTGCAAAATAAATAGTCACAAAACTATTTTGTCCATGTGAGATTTTCTCTTGCAATAGATTGTTAAGATGATACTTCCACGACATTTTGGCTGAAGAACCATCTGCTATAGACTCTTGCAAAATTTACACCAATCAAGCGTGTTTAACCCTTGGCTCTTTAAAAAGCTAAAGTTAAAAGAAACTGCCATGAATCGCAACTGCTACTACTCAACATTTTTAAAAATGCGACAACTAATAGTTTTTATACTTTATAAGACAATAGTAGGTAAGACAGCTCAAATTAATAACAATATGATAGGACTGTTTCACACATAAAACTTGTCAATAAAAATGCCGTACTGAGTAGGCAAAAGAGTAAGAAAAATGCCCGTCTGCCGGTGAATAATCACTATATCTTCTAAGCAACCAGGAGGAACTAAAAAAGATTAACAGACGGAGATCAACTTGAAGAGTATAACTCGTAGCTACCTTTCCCACACATTCTTTTAAAAAGTTAGCAGTTGGCATAACTGCTCACAAAACAGAAGTAACCCTAATAGGGAATTAAAAGTTTAATATGTTGTTACCTACGGCTATATATTCATAAACTTCCAGCGGTCCACGAAAAATTAAGAAAATATTTCAGAATGGGAGTAACTCAAAGAATATAAGTTGTAGCAGCCCCCAGGAAAACTTCTACATACATCTTTTTAAATTTTTGCAAAGTACAAGATCTTTTTTTTTTTTTTTTTGCTTCAGCATTTTTAGTTGGCACAATCTAGTTCAAAAAATTGGGAAACATCCCCTTTTATTTGATTCATAAAATCAGGAGAGATCTCTATAAAATTAACAATGGCAGAATAATCAGCACGTCTTGGCAACTTCTGGTATCGGAGAAATTGAAAGAAAGAAAAAAAATCACAGAAAGGGACCAACTCGAAAGATATAACTCGTAACCATTTGGCAAACATTCATGTTTTTTTCAAAAAAAATTTCAAGTTTATATCTATTTGGTAGCTTGGCTATTGTAGTTAGTGCGACAGATTAAGATACGGAAACATCCCCTAAAATTAGTGAAACAGAAAAATTTACATTATAAATCTAGCTAAAATTCTTTTCTACTCCGGAAAATTCGTTTATCATCACCTGTGGCAGAATAATCAACAAGTCTTGGTAACTTCCAGTGGCTATCATCACACTGAAAACAAAACATGAGAAGAATCTCAAAGGGTATTACTTGTAGCCACTACCCTCTGGCAAACCTCTACAGGTTTTCTTTTTTAAGTATATGCAAGTTTGAAATCCACAGTAGTAGGTGCAACAAATCACAGAAGGAAAATATCCCCTCTACTCATATTTTGGTGTGTAAAGTCAACCATGATTAATAACATTTAAGTATTATCTTCAGAATAATGCTTATAACTGTTACTTTTTATTAATTGCTATTTATTATAGCAACAAAATTTGTCAGGTGAATAAAATAATGCATCATTAATTTAATAATTTTGATAATTAAAGCTTTAAAACGGAAATTATTCTTACATAAGATCGCAACTCGTTTAACTTAGTATTTCAGATTAATATTCCTTCATTAAGCTTAGGTGCCAGCATAATACTTTTAAAAAATTCATGATTTTATTAAAAATATCTTAACTGCATAACAATCGTATATAAGGGTCTGAATTTCATCCCTTTACATTCTATGCTCAGTAAATGAGAATTAACAAATTTTCTTGCTTTTTTCCAAAATCGTTGCGTTTTGTCATAGTTTGTTAAACTTCGCAAATGATAGGCTTATAATATTTGTGTTTATTTCAAGCAGAATTAACTACAATAATCATTTACTTTTTTTGATAGTGAAGCATTATAATGAATTAACATTCTAAATAGTAATAATTAAAGTAAGGAATAAAAGAACTTACCATTGAATTCGGTGTATACATATATAACATAACGTGCCGCCTTCTACAAAATGTAAATAAAAGCTTAGTGTAGGGGTAGCAATCCTTGTGTAGAAGTTGTACCCACGGAAAAGGAGTGAAAAGTTGAAACTCGGTATCGCTTAATGCACTTGTAAAACGAAAACTCAAATAACTGAAAGCAATGTGGAACATTACTTTAGAACCTATATTGTGAATCAATTTTTTCTCATCTATTTTTGATTTTTCTTATTATTATTCTATTTAAACCTAGAATAATTATGCTACATTGTAGAATAACTTTCATATAATATTTTTGAAAAAGTTAAATAAAAATGTCATACCTTTTTTTAAAAAAATTATTACTATTTTACCTCAAGACTTGAAGAAAAATGGAATTATATTGTTATGTAGTGTTATTTTCATTCCAGAGATATAATAGTATTTAATTTTAACTAGTATAATATTATTTGAATAGCTTGTACATAAAAAAAACCGACTTTAATGCTTTTTATAATTTTTATGAATTCATAAAAATTGCTGTTTTATGCTCTGGAAATGTAAAATTATTATAACAATAATTTATTACTAAAAGAAAAACACGAATAAATATTATAAATTAAGATCACTGCTTCGGAAGACATACAATATTACTTAAAATACGTGATTATTTATTTTAAAATTTTACACTTTTTTGCTTCCTCTAACCAGTACATTCATTTCCAATCAAAGAAGTTAGAGGATCGTACTATAGTAATTTAACTAAATGAGACATTAACTATGTTATATTTTAACACTGTAAAACTAAAAATGTACATTGATTTTTTTGTGGGTCATATAGGCTGATCAATGAACCATAAATTGTAGGATTTCCATTTAATCCGAAATGAGAGTAAGAAAGATATTGTAAAATACATTCTACGTTAGGTCTTTCATCAAATCAAAAAGATTTAATCTATCTACATCCACCAATGTAAAAGTTTTATCGATTAACATAATATGGGATCAACATGTACATTTATTTATCTCTGGTTAATTTTAATTATTATATCATCATTACATGTTATTTCTCAAATTTCGTGCCTATTTTTTATTTTTCTCGTCTGCGTGGGTGAAGATTTTACATACATTAATTGGCATGCATAAAGGCATGGTCTCATGATTTAAGTATTATTTTTATTTTTTAGTTGTTGGTGATGACCGTGTAAAAAATAATAGTTTGAAAAAATTCATAAAATATTTATTACATAAAAAAATACACATTTAAATAAAAAGCACATTTTAAATCACGATTTTATTAAAAAAAAAAAAGAGGTAATATAATGGATTTGAAAACTTGATTATAACAAAAAGGGTAAAAAAGGGCGCCGAGTTAACATTCCACGTGGATCAAGTTATTTTCAAATAATATATTAAAAAATTTGTATTTAACTTTAGCTGGAAGGATCCAGCTAAAAGGAGTTTTAGTTACGCCGCTGTTGTTGTTGATTTACGTCGCACTAGAGCTGCACTATGGGCTATTGGCGACGGTGTGGGAAACATACCGGAGAATGATCCGAAGACATGCCATCACAATTTTGATCTTCTGCGGAAGGGGTGGCACCCCTGCTTCGGTAGCCCGACGACCTGCGCGCGAAGTCGAGCACTTCACGGTAGCACAGTTTAACGAGGACCAATACCGCACACCCTTGGTTCCTACGCAGACTGATCCAAGTGGTCACACACCCGCACACTGACCGCAGCCAGTGATACTTGACTTCGGTGATCTGCTGGGAACCGTGTCTTAACGATCAGTCCGCTGCGGGACTTTAGTTAAGTCGCACTAGAGCTGTACATTAGGCTTATCATCCATTTAGACCTAAATCTGAAGGGGTAGGGAATTTTCTCCAGATCCCTGTACATTTGGTGCAGCAATGCGACCGACCACAGGCCTCTCGATTTCACAGATTTTAATAGCACATATATCGCATGTACTCGGTGGTGTCGAGGATCGAGCTAGGACTAGAATGGGCCTTAAAACCCCTATTAACCGGGAACTAAGCTTAAATGAAAAAAATTTGTCGCACTAATGTCAAAATATGAAAAAACAAATATTTAATTTCTCTCCTCCTTTTTTTTTCTTCTTGAAGGTGGGTTTTT